AGCATGCTTGAAACATAAACGAAATTATAAGTACAAGAAGGAAGCATTATGATTGGTGCAACAAACACTAGTAAAAAAAAAAAAAAAAAAAAAGTTTTGATTCCACGGTTTCTTGTTTCTGCTTGAAACAAGTAGATTTGATATGCATCTAAAAACAACAAAGAGCTTAGTATCATATCTAAACATATCCTAATAAAACACTAGATCAATTTAAAAATTAAAAAAAAATGCCTCATTTCAAAAGATTCCAAGTATACAGAAAGAGATTTATGAACAAAATAATTGAATTAAGACTTTTGCCCCAAAAAAGGTCTGATAAAAATAGAATTCATGATCCTAATACCATAAAGACCATTGAATAGTTGCACGTAACAGCAGGCACAAAACCATAAGATAGCATCTGCCAAGTTTTCAAGATACACGTCTAAAACAGATTACTAGTCCAGTAATCCATCCAAACTAATCTGCCATATTTAAAAGAAATAAGGAAAGTTTTATCCAGTGAAATACCTGTAAAAGGCCACGTGTCCCTCCAACAAAAAGGCGGTTGTACCTCAGAACATTTTTCAGAACCTCAGTGATCTCACGTTCCTGCCGGTGGCATAGCGATGCCTCTGGTGTCAACCTCCTGATGTAGCGGGAGCACATGGGACACTTGCATGGCCTAGATGCTGAAGAATAATTCCAGAACTGCAAAATGCAACTGCCTGCACAAGAATAAACACCAATCTTAAAACAAAATATTCATGTCCCAAGATAGCTTTACATAGTAGAAAGAAAAAGACCAGTAGTAACCTGCTCCCACATGTATTAACATAGCTAGTCTATGGAGGAGGCAGACCTTTCACTTCTAAACACTTAGCAACATAAAGAAGTTTACGTTCTACTTGAACTTTTCCTCTCTCATTCCAGATGCAAGTCCTACCAAGATCCCTGAAGGACAAGCACTGAACAAGAAGGCCAACACATGAGCTCAAAATCTAGTTGAACTCGAGACCAGCTGACCATGCGCATATACAATATGCAATGACAACCGTGAAAAGAACTACCATTTACACAATATGAATTCTTATACATCGATCGCAAAGGAAAAGGAAGTACAACTTTAGCACATTATATTTTTCCCGGAGGTACTCTGCAAACTTGAGGCCGCTAGAAAGTTCAAAACACACAGTGGAAGAACACAAATAAAAAACCCTTCAACCACATAGTGTAAACACAAAACTGGTAACACCTCAATCCCAAATACTTTTAACAACCAATATCTCAAATGTTTTACCAGTCAGATTAACGGTTACATAAAGCCTCCACAAAATTTCTAATTTGTAAACTAATCCAATTAGTTTGGTCGGCCATAATTTTCATGAAACCAGCAAGCCACAATAAACAGTTAAGCAAACATAAAGATTAAAGAAGACAATAACTACGAGATTGAAAAATGTTTAACGTTGTTAACAAGCAGCATAAATTCTTTTCTTCAAGCTAGGTACAAACATTTTTAACGAAAAAAAGCTTATCATATTATATTCAAAACAACACAAACCGACCACCAATAAACTATTAATTTAACATTAAATCAAACCGGTTCTCAAAATCTTAACTCTGAAACCCTCAAATTCATAAATAATAAATAAAATGTCAATTTCCTTTCCCCAATATTTTCTCAGGAACCAAACAGAAAATCACGCCTATACTCCGAACAAACGCAATAACGCGTAAACAAACAAACTTTCAAAATTTCCACAAACTAACTTCAAAAAAATAAAAAATAGAAAGCTAATAAAACTAACCGCAGTACCAGTGACCGCAATTTGCTTTACAAGGAATAGTGAAATCTCCAAAGCAAATAGGGCAACAATCGTCTGCAGGAGGTCCATCTTCCTCTTCGCTGCTCTCTCCTTTCGCTCCCTCTCCACAATCTTCAACGCGATTGTTTAACGTATCCATCTCCAAGAAACAACAGTGTTCGCACAGATTTAGTTTCTTTTATCTTCAATGCAGGTTCAAGTTTCCTTTTCTCTCCTCAGAGGAGAGACTGATCTGATTCGTAGTTTTGAAGGAAATTTTAACAGGAGTGGGTCCGACTATATATATATAATATATATTTACGGGTTTCGGTTCGACCCTTTATTTTAAATATTTGATTCGGTTTACCGCGTTTAAATGGCCATACGGGTATTTGACCCGCGTTTAAACGGCCATATGGCCAAAATGGTGTCCAAAATCCAAATTTTGTTCAAACCATACGCTAAAAGTCACATTAAATTAGTGTAAATAAATAGTATTACATTAAATTTACAATAATACTATTAATCGACATCAATTTGGTGTGATACTATTTATCTACTACAAAACATATTTTATTTTCTTATTTTGTTATTTATTTTTTAAATTTAAATTTATATTAATTTAATTATTATTTATATTAATTTAATTATTATTTATAATAATTATATAATTCAAAAAATAATAAAAAATTAAAAACAAAACTTCATTCAATACAAATACTAAACTTCAATAACTCAAAATAAATTAACACTAATTTAAAAACACTAAAATTAAAAGAAAATACAACATAAATAATTAGTGAAATAAATTTATTTTCAATGCTTAATTTTATTAAATTAGTATAATTTTCAAAGTTATTAATTAATAAAAATATTATTTCTAATATTTAATTAATACATACAAAAATAATTAGTGAAATAAATTAATTATTGAGAATTAATAGAAGGAAAAAAGAATAGTAAAATGGTTTGAAAGTTACACCAATTTAATGTTTGTAGTTGGAGATGGACTTAGGGTATAATTGCAACTTTGTGAAACTTGTGGATTTTTCTGTAAGATCTTAGGGAGGGCGCTGGCCCAACCTGGATGCTGGCTGTGCCGTTCATTTAAGAGTAATGCTACAACCATCGACAATAGTGCATCGAATTTATGCACCGAATCCTGACTGTTGATTAATATTAAGTTAAAATTAATCAACGGTCAGGATTTTACCAAGTTTTTCGATGCACAAATTCGGTGCATTACCATCGGTGACTGTATTATTTTTCTTCATTTAATCTTTAATCTTGAAGTGGTAAATTATAGGTGCATGATCATGTATCTAAACATTTGAATAACAATAATATGCTTGTTAGACATGCATAATCGAAAATTAATAAATAAAAATGTGTATTACACATTTATGTAAAATTTTATTACAATAATCAACAATATGTTGGCCAAGTGGTAAAGGCATAGAGCCGAATGGTAAAGGCTTGGGGTCAAGGGTTTGCTCCTCCTATGGTCTCAAGTTCGAATCACAAGAACAATTGTTAATATTATTGGCCACAAACTACAGGGTTTGCCCTGTTTTGGAAGCTTTGTTTGGAGTCAAAAGACTAGTCGAAGTGCGTATAAACTGGCCTAAATACCCCTGATAACAAAAAAAAAAAAAAAATTACTATAATAATATAAATTTATACAATATTATTGGACTCTTTCTTTAATAATGAATAGATGTATTCTTTTATCCGAGAAATTTAGTATTATACATAGACTTTTTATCTAAAATCAATCTAATGGCACTGGCTGTTGCACAAACACTTGTTCTTATCGATATCATAGCTGCAACTTCAATGTTGACAGTAACAATGGCTAACAGAGGTTGGCAGTTGGCACTATGGATTTAACTACACTTGGCCTTCGACGCCCTCTCCCAAGATTAATAACAGCACAAATTTCCCCAACAAAATCATCGTCGGTGGATCCTCACTGGCACTTCGGCTTCAACTTCAGTGACTAGGCTTTCCAAAAGAGTAATGTTACATGTACAAACAACTCTTATAAAAATTTATGTACAAACTAATGTGGCAGAAAATGAATAGAAGAGTGGGTACAAAAAGTCAAACTCATTATTTGTACATTTAGCATTATTGTTTCCAGAATGCTCCCTTCTATGTCAACGACGTCTTCGGTGACTTCATATTCACAATATATAATTAATTTATTTTCTTAAGAAGCTTTTATTATTCAACACTGGGGGTGCACTTGGTTCATTATTTTGATATTTTTTAGAATAATATTTTGAATAAAGTTAAATTTGGTGGTTATTACGATGTAAGATTTAAAAATTAACAAAAATACCCCTTAAGTTTCTTTATTTACTAAACACCCTTATAATAAAATATTAAGAATTAACAAAAACATCCTCATCCATCCATTAAATATTGACAGGCAGTAGGCCACCACCACCAGAAGGTGGTTAGAGTCGCCTTATCAACACACGATCGGTTGGATATGACTGGTCGTGCACCGATATGTCTTTTTTCAGCCAGATTCATGGTGGATCTGGCTGGAAAATGTTAGATCTACGGCTAGATCTGGTCATTGACAGTCATATCTGACTGCACTTGGTCGTCAACAACGACCATATCTTGGCCGTCGTTGACGATTGGTTACGGCCAAAGATCTGGTCGTAGATCTGACATTTTCTGCTAGATCCACCGTAGATTTGGTCGGAGAAGGCTAGATCGGCGTACTACTGGCTAGATCCAGTTGGTAGTGTCCCATTATACCAGATTCCAGTCAGCTTCCTGCAATGGTGGATGAAATCTGGAAAATGTGGGTTGTTGGGGTGTTTTTATAATTTCTAATTTTTGTTGGGGTTGTTTAGTTAAATTAACAAATCAAAAGAGTTTAAAAGAATTGAATAATATAGAATAATATTTTAAGAATAAGGAAATAAATGTATATTTTTAAATATAATAGGGAATAGAGTAGTGAATAAATGAGTACCAAAGGGGCCTGAATTTATTTATTTATTTTTGGTTGGCAGAAAGAAACCAACACAAAAAGGAAATAGGGTTTAATGTAACCCTAATATAAGTGGGCTAAAAAAAACCTTCTCTCCTATGGGCTAAATGGCCCAATATGGACTCTACTAAAATGGCCCATCCTCCACATGGAGGAAAACCCAACCCAACAGAATTTACTTATTATTTTTTTGACATGTTTGGGAAATTTTGGTTTCTGTATCACCCAGCCTCAGTCGCAGATTGGATTCCAGGTGAATCCCGCTCAGATCTCAGCAGTTTAATTTCTCTCCGCTGCAAGCTACGCCGTCGATTTATTCATCTCTTCCACTCAGCCGTTTAATTTGTTCTTTTTTTTGGTATTAGATCTCAGATCCGAGATTTTTTTTTTTTTTTTTTTTTTAATACGGGATTTTATAATTTTTTGTTTATTTGGTTTTTCAGGTTCTCTCATAGTGGTTGTTGGTTCTGCGTAAGCCAAAATGGTAATGTTTTTCATCATTTATAATGAAATGAAGTGATTTTATGAAATTTTGTTCTTTATACAAGTTCGTTCTTTATTATTATTACTATCATGAACTTGTTATTGTTTTTTATAATTTTTTGTTCCAAATCCTTCAAAACACCAAATTACTACCAGATGAACAAATCCCAGATTGTTTACATGGATGTTGTCGGTGGGGACGAGGGAAGATATCCGCAACTATTATTCTCCCCACATCCAAACACAAACGCCAACTGCAAATGTCCTCATTATTTGTGAGATGGCAGATTAAGCTATTGATCCATTGTTTTGAATGAAAATGTCCTCATTATCTTTTATTTGCGATGTAGGTTGTTCTTGCAGCTTCTATTGTGACCAAATCCGGAAAAGGTGAGTTATTTAAATATCGCTTTTTATTTGTGAGAATCCTAGTGTTTTTAATATAATTTTATCGGTAATATGAATCGCAAGGTTTTCTGTAATTATCCCAAAAACAAAAATATAATGAAGAGATCAAACATTTATAGACCAAATCAAATCATACAAATAAAACCCATGAGAAATCAAACTATTGGCAAAAATATAAAGTTTTTAAAGAGACATTAGGGATTTGAAAGGCCAAAAAAGAAAGAGATTAGAATTTTAGACTGAAATTTGGGGATACGGGAAAATTGAGAAGAATTAAGAGAGATCACAGAGAATGCAGGGAGAGACTAAAGAGAAGAATGAAGATGAAGCGGAGATGAAATAGGGTTTAAATATGTTAGAGCTAGGTTTTGATTTTTCTTTTTCAAAACCTCGTAAAATGCCTAGTTTCCTTTCAACCCTTTATAGTTTAAAAAATGTGCATTTTCAAAACATTAGCCCAGAACAGTGCTTCCAGAAATCTAAAACATTAAAATATGGGATTTTTAGCCCCCAACAAATTGATGAATATCCCCACTTTTCAATATTTTTTGTTTTAAAAATTTTAACCTTAAAGAAAATTCATAGAAATGACATAATAATTTCTAAGTACACTCTTACTCTATTTTATATTTATATTTTAATTTTTAACATTTAATTCTTACATAAACCTAACTTTAAATATTCTAAAACATTGAAACATTTTTTTTATTTCAAAATTTTCTTTTTTTTTTGATGAAAATATATTACTAAAGCTATGAAAAAGTAATTATACAACGGGATGAATCTGAATCTAAAAAAAGAAGTAATTAAGTTTGAAATTTGTTGATTTTTGAATGAAAATACCCTCAAATTTAAGTGATTGATTTGTATATTTTATCACATAATAAAATTATTTGAAAATGAATTAAATAAATCTACCCATAATTTAAATATATAAATTAAAATTGATGATCTTAAATGATTCCAAATAATATTAATTTATATTATTTAATAAGTTTGATTTTTGTTCAGTTAACCAAAATTTTAAAAAGTTAAGAAATTTTAAACTAGTCAAAGTTGTTGATTGTGATGACTGTTTGTCACGCTGTCGACCTCACTGCTGGCGTGTGGAGGACCAGATAACTGTTGTGTGTGATGTCATAAAACCGGTTTTTAGTGAATCAAATTTGCTTAGATCGATAGATTGTTAGTTGTTGGTCTCTCATGTGTCTACAATTACGTTGGTGACATGACAGATGGTAAAATGGAGGATTAAAATTTAAAACATAGATAAATAGGATATTTCATCCCTCTTTTCTAGTAATAGATTGACATTCCTCCTAATTTTAGTCCTTTGACTTTTAGGGGATTGGGATTCGTTTGAGAATCCTTTGAGAATCTTATGTAACAGTCTCGTAAATTTTATGTACAGACTTTGCTAAGTGATCTTTTAATTGATTTATGAACTTCATTATACATGACAATGAGGCACTTGAATAAAAATGTCACGAAAGGTGGGTGGTTGGCTATTTTAAAAATTAGTGGGTATTACATTACAAGCCTGGGATTAGTTCTTACTTTCATGGAGTTGGGTTCTATGTCTTCTTCTTTTCTGTCTTCTTTAGTTGTACCTGCTTATATATTGTTTGCGTCTAGGCCATGAACTATTGTTTTACTTGCTCTTATGATAATATTTTACAGTGAATAATTTTTCTTGCTCCTCTTGACATTCTTTATTCCCTGCAGTGCTTGTTTCTAGGCAGTTTGTGGATATGTCTCGTATACGAATTGAGGGTCTTCTTGCAGCGTTTCCTAAGTTGGTAGGCACAGGAAAACAACATACGTATGTTGAGACAGAAAATGTCCGCTATGTTTATCAGCCAATAGAAGCTTTGTACTTGCTACTTGTTACAAACAAGCAGAGCAACATCCTTGAAGATCTGGAAACTCTGAGGCTGCTCTCCAAGCTTGTATCCTTTTAAGCTGCTCTTTGTTTACTTTACATCTTCTTAAATCAAGGTTCAAAATTTATTGCTTTTACTAATCACCCATTATTGATAGGAAAGGTGACTTCTGTTTGTTGTCATGGATTTACCAGTGTGGATCTGGAACCTGCTTTTCTTGTATATATTTACATTAGGTGATGATTCCTTTGTCATTTCTAGCTCATTACAATTTATTGGTACATGCCACATATTATTTTTATATAAAATTTTCAGATCTGTCATCTGTGCATGTCTTTTTGAGATTGTTAATCCATTAATGTAGAAAAAAAGGTGTATTGTATAGTCCTTAATGTTTTTAGGTACCTGAATATTCCTACTCTCTAGACGAGGAGGGTATTTGCATGACAGGTTTCGAGCTGATTTTTGCGTTTGATGAAGTTATCTCTCTTGGGCACAAGGAAAACGTGACTATTGCACAGGTCAAGCAGTACTGTGAGATGGACAGTCATGAAGAGAAGTTGCACAAGCTGGTATTGCAGAGCAAGATCAATGAAACCAAGGATGTCATGAAGCGCAAAGCTAGTGAGATTGACAAAAGCAAGGTACTGTTTACGGTTCTGTAGTGGTTCCTTTTCTAATTGGTGCCTTCCGTAATTTCTTGGGTTGTATTGCGATTTGAAACTCTTATATATTCTGCAGATTGAGAAGAATAGAGGTGAAAAAGGAGGCTATATTTCCTTGCAGTCGATGGGATCTGGAAGAATTGAGAATGGCTTTAGTGATATGAGCATTTCTGGTGGTGGTGGTTTTGGTAGTGGTTCTGGATTTGGTTTGAGCACTGATGTTGAGTCCTTTTCCAGCAAGTCTAAAGGTCTGTGTACTTTAGATGGAATGGATTCTATGAGTTCGCTACTTACTTTTTATGAGTTGTGGATTTTGTTGATATACATGCTGTATGTTAGCAAATAAACATGCGTTTTAGCTAAATAATTGAGAATTCCTTTCGAGTTGCTAGGCAGATAGGTTATACTTTGTTCTGTCTTTAAGATATCTGATTGGTGCCTTATCATGGAAATCTGTTTAATGGATCTGTTTCTGGAATACTTGATGATTTGTTTTGAACTGAAGAGAATTCTTATTCCTTATATATTTGCATCATTAGGTCGTCCACCTTCATCCGCCACAGCTCCTCCTAAGGGTCTTGGTATGCAGCTTGGTAAATCTCAAAGGACAAATCAATTCTTGGAATCTTTGAAAGCAGAAGGTGAAGTAATTATTGAAGATGTGAAGCCAAAAGCAGGCCAGCCAAGATCAGCTGCTCCACCACCAACTGATCCTATCACTTTGACAGTTGAGGAGAAACTCAATGTAACTTTGAAACGAGATGGTGGGATGAGTAACTTTGATGTCCAAGGAACTTTGTCTCTTCAAATTCTTAATCAAGAAGATGCTCTAATCCAAGTTCAGGTACTTTACTTTTCTCTATTATGATCATATGCGTCCAAGTGATGGCTGCCATTTCGTGCTCCTGCTGTATCAATTCTCCTTTGAAGAAAAGATGCTTGACATTGATTTTTAGATTTGCTGTCCATGTGATTTTCCTGTTATTTATTACAATGTATCATGCGTTATTTCAGATTGAGACTGGAGGGAATCCGGCCATTCTTTTCAAACCCCATCCTAATATGAACAAAGAACTCTTCACCAGTGAGAATATACTGGGCTTGAAGGACCCTAATAGGCCTTTCCCCACTGGCCAAGCTGGTGATGCAGGAGGTGTTGGTCTTTTGAAGTGGAGAATGCAAAGTGCTGATGAGTCAATGGTGCCATTGTCAAGTGGGTTCAAGTCTTCCATTGAATTTTCTCTCTATATCATTTCTTTTCTATGCTAAAAGCATTTATGTGGATTTATACATATATATGCAGTTAACTGCTGGCCCTCTGTTTCTGGAAATGAAACTTACGTGAACATTGAATATGAAGCTTCATCAATGTTTGATCTGCGAAATGTTGTGATCTCAGTACCTCTTCCAGCACTCCGAGAGGCACCAAGTGTTAGGCAGATTGATGGGGAGTGGAGGTAAGAAATGTGATTTTCTATACTTTGTGAGTTTTGGATTTTAGTTATCTTGCCCTCTATCTGTCATGACAAGAATATGTGCATTCAACACTAGCATTCCTTTTGACTTTCAGGTATGACTCTAGAAATTCTGTCCTGGAGTGGTCGATACTTCTCATTGATAACTCTAACCGCAGGTAAATGACTACTATACTTTCAACTTCATGAGATACATATTCTTTTGTTTAGTGTTCGTGCATAAAATTCATATTGTACTCAACTGAATTTGCAGTGGATCGATGGAATTTGTTGTGCCTTCAGCTGATTCATCAGCCTTTTTCCCCATCTCTGTGCGGTTTTCAGCTACTAGTACATACAGTGACCTAAAGGTTTGCTTGACATTATAATTCGGGTTTTTGTTATTGTCTCATCGAATAATAATATGTTTCCATCTCTTTTTGTGGTTACAATCTTGTGGTAACATCATAAGTTGGCAAAGTTTCTGGTATTATTTATTTGCTCTCGTAATATCATTTTCAAGCATAAAATCTATCTCTGCTAAGGTTGACAACTCGATTATAACTATGGTATGTATTTCATAGCGGAGCTTATGTTAAATTGAATTCTGTTCTAAATTATGCTTGTCTTGTCCTTGGAGACCATTGGATATTTAAGTGATCGAAAATCGATGTGAAGGCATAATGAATGTTGTAAATTTCATCGTAATCTCGACATTTTGAATGGAATCTTTAGGAGAATGCTACCTATCACAGCATGTGATGATATTAATGGTGGCGATCTATTAGGTTTAAACCAGTTGTGTATCCAGGGAGGTTTTGATGTGAGCTCAGTTCCTTTTCGGTCATCAATATGTTCTTTTAGATGCTACATAAATGAAACGGATAAATTAGTCGTCCCTTTTAACTTCCCCCTCTGGTTCTCATTGTTTATTTTGATTTTTAACTCAAAACTGTTCTTGCTGCAGGTGGTAAATATCCTCCCCCTAAGAGGTGGATCTTCTCCCAAGTTCTCGCAGAGAACGGTTTTGACCGCAGAAAATTACCAAGTTGTGTGATCGCTTTTTTCTAAATTTCATGCATTGGATTATGAGTTTTCATTGGCTTCTTTCTAAATTTCATGTAATTAATGTGTTTAGTTACCAGTTGTTACAAAATATTTAGCTATTATTTTACTAAAATACCATTTATAAGATTATATATATTTGTGCAAATAATTAATTAATTAGGTTAAAGAAGTCATTTAATAATTTGGGTTAATAGTTATTTGATATCAAAAGGAGGTCATTTGTGTTCGGAATTTTTATTAAGGGTAAAATTGGAACAAAAATAAGATCACCACTGTAATTTTAAAATACCACTTTTTAAGCTGGTAATCACATAATCCTTTAGGGGCGTTTGGTTGGGGGTTATATGAGATTATTGGGGTTATGTCATCTTATATTACCTGATTATTATATTCGGTTGTCAAGTAATATAAGATACTGGTAATCTTCAAATATCAATATACCAATAGTGGTTACTATTGGTTTTATCGGAGGTAATTTGATTACAAAGGCTTCGTTTGGTTGGATTTTGGGAATACTACTTTTAGTATTCCCAAAAAAGTTAAACAGTAAAATACCCAAAAACTCACAATATTATTCAACTTTATTCAACATTTTTTAAACCCCCTAAATTTGTTAATTTAATTAAATACCCCTAAATATTTTTAATATTTTTGTTACGGCGACTCCGACCACCCTCCGGCGGTGGTGGCTGGCTGTCCGTATTTGAGGGTGGATTGGGGGTGTTTTTGTTAACTTTTAATGTTTTATTATAAGGGGTGTTTTGTAAAAAAAAAACATAGGGGGTATTTTATAATTTGTAAATGCTACGTCGTAATACCCGCCTAATTCAACTCTTTTTTTAACTTTTTTCAAAAAACTTTTCCCAAAAACACAAAATTGTGAATCAAACGGAGCCTTTTCATTTTCTTAAGTATTCTGAAATTACTAGGGTCATCTTTTTTTGTTATAATTTTATCCCTTATTAATAAAAATTTTGAACAATAATACCCCTACTTTAAAACAAATTTACACTAATATCTTATTTTAATTTTATCCTTGTTTAATTAAAATTTTGGACAATAATGTCTTTATATTTAAAATAATTTACAGACCATCAGTACCACCCAGCCACCACCACCACTGCCACCTAGCCACCGTTGACAGCGGGCCAACCACCATGGACCGTCGTCGGAAAATCACCAGAGTCCCTGAAAAAGAACGAGATTCGGTGGGAGGCTTTGGGAGGCTTCGATATGGCCCTTTTTAGCCATATTGATGGTCGAAAATGGCCATATCAAGCTAGATTTGGCCGTTAACGGCCAGGTCTATTTTGGTTGGAATAGATTTCGGCCAGGCCCATGGCCGTTAATGTCCAGATCTGGTCGGAAATGGTCAGAATAGATCTGGCCTGATATGGCCGTTTTCGGCTATCAATATGGTCAGAAACGGCCATATCGAAGCCTCTTGGTCACGGTGAGCTACTCACGGTGACTTTCGGAGACTTTTGATGGTGGTTTGCGGTGGCGGCGGCAGGAGGTGGGGGTGATTTCGTCATAAATTAAAGTTTATATAAGCGGGGTGTTTTAGCTAAATCTGAAATATTGGGGGTTAAAAAAATTATTCAAAAATTAATAATAAAAATAATATTATATTAGTATTTAAAAAAGGGACAATTTAGTAATTTAAATAAAACACCCACCAATTTATTCCTCATAACCAAACATATTAATATAACATACCCACTAACTAACCAAACACATTTTTCTAAAGATTCCCAGTAATCTTCTAAGGCAATCTATCTTTTCAGTAATCTAACATTCCCAATAATCTAACATTCCTGAATCAAACGCCCTCTTTATATTACCTCTCATATTACTGGAATCTTTTATTATCTATTAAACTAAACAAGATAATGATTAGGTTAAACGATAGATTATCAGAGTAATCTTTTTAGAGTCCTAATTGTGCGCAGCCTAAAGGTATTATAGTTAAAACTTTAAGACAACGTGTGGAAGTTGGGTAATATTTCAAATTTGCATTACACGCTGGTGCTCTCTACATGTGACACTTGCAAAATTTATAATAAATAATAATGCAATCTGTGCATAAGTAGAGAGATATGGAAGATTAGATTGAGAGATTAATTAGAGATATATCAGAAGATGTTACCTAATGCCCATGCCTACTTTCGTGATTCAACATCAACAACCCCTCTCAGTACACTACCATCTCCCAACACCCAAGCACAAAAGGAACTGCCTAACAAAACGGGCGGGTGGGTCGAGTATGGGGTGGATCCAATGGGTATGGGTCCCATGGATACGAGTCTAAAATGGGTCCTACCCTATGCAGGTACGGGTGGACTCACGGATACCCATATTATTCATGGCAGTTTTCAATTATAACAGTTATACCCCAAAATTCCTGTAGTTTTTATTTTTTACAATTACACCCCCATAATCAACGACTCCAAATTTGATTTCGCTACAACACATGCAAAATCTTGTTCATTTATGATCTACACTGGACAGTATCACTAATTTACTTTGTGATTATTTCAACTCACCACAACTTTAATTATGAAAAAACACATTTTTATTTATAATTGTGGTTCTATATGCGTTGTTGTGTGGTCTCATCTTTGTATTCCAAACAAACGAGTAATACTACGCTGACAACCTATTCTCACAAACCTCTCTTACAATCTTTACATGGCAACAGATCAACACTATCACGTCAACTCCCACCTCATCCCACCACGAACCCCACCACACCCAAGACATCCAAGCACTATGAGAAACAAATGGCCGTTTCTGGAGAAGGAACGATCGTCCCCTATGAAGGAATGAACGTTTCATAAGGAACGGTTGTACCTTCTGAAGGAACAACTGTTTCTTCTTTTCTTCTGTAAGAAACGACCATACATTTATAAAGAACGACCGTTCCCTATGAAATGAACGGTCGTTTATTTGGTCTAAGTCGAAATCATTTACGTCTTAGAGCCAGACCAAAGTATCACATCGGTGTTGTGAGAGGGGATTGTTGGTGTAGCATTATTCAACAAACAACTTATTTTTAACATCTTTGAAATAATAGAAAGCATTAAACGTATTAGATGTAATTATCAGAGTTCATTCCTGTTCCAACAATGTCAGAATAAATGTTAAGTGTTCATCTTTAATACATTAAACACCAATGAAAGAGACGAAACAACTACAAAAACTTCATTAATTCATATCAAAATTCATGAGATCATTTTCCTCAGACCGTCTCTCTTCTCAATTTAAACTCTCACTCACAAAAACAGATCAAAACCCACTCTCAAGAACTGATATTGTCCCATTAGCATGCACCTTGGTATTAAACACCCATTTTCCATCAATTGGAAACATATCTAATGAAAAAGGGGCATGCAAATATATAAGAGGATGCTCAAATCTTCAAATCTTGAATTCCAAAACAAATATAATGAAGATATCAAACGTTTTTAGACCAAATCAAATCACAGTATGTACATTTCATAGCTGATGAAGAAACAAAATTATGGCTAAATATACGTTGACCTCGTACAATTTTGTTATCATCATGTGTTATATATTAAGCTTCATTATCTCTTTCTGGTTTCAATCAGGAAATGGGATTGACTGTTGCGCTCAAAAGGACTTGTTCTAATTGCAGCTGCAACTTCAAAGTTGACAGTCACTAAAACCGTCTCGTCTTTGGGTGACCAAAATGATGGTAGATACAAAACTGTTCTGTGGGTGGGCAGGAATGGCGATTTGGCTTCAAGTACTATACTGCCTGGTCTCAGCAAAATTCTCCATTAATTCTACCTCAATGATGTTTTAAGTGAGTTCAGATGATCTCTTTCTTTCCCTTCTTAATGTAAAATTTGTATGTACATTCTGTTAAACACGATCGATATCGATGTTAATTTAATTGTCTGCAGTTTTCAAGTATGATCCTCCGAGCGCTAGCTACTGTATTTCCTCATCACAGCGTTTACTTGCTATCTGATCTGAATAGTTTTCTGAACTGCAAACTTTCGAAAGCCACCATTGTACCAAACTCCACCCAGGGTGGCGGCGAGGGGTTTGAGTTTGTGCTGGAGAAATGGGAGCAGCCTTGATATTTAGATCCATAATGGATTGGCTATTTGACTTTGTCTTGGTCAACTTTGAAACATATATAAACGAATAATTTTTTTTTTCTAATGAGCAAGGTGTCTGAACTAGTTTATGTGTACTTCAACTAATCTCTTGAAACTATGAAACTATTTGTCGGTTAAGAATACTAGTAACTACTTTTATTAGTAATCGAAGAGAGACTTAAACTCAATTCCTCTTAAGTAATATATCTGAAGAGTTTATATCGAACCATTCGATCATCCAGAGGTAATTATAAGCTAATGATATATAATACAATGATTAGGTATTCCCTTTTCTGCTGGGGAAAAGAAATTCTCTCATTCAGGTACCAACCCATTACAGCTTTTCTGCATTCTTTTTATTTCTTTTAAAACTTTTTATGGAAAATGGTAAGCTTTTCAGATTCATACATTATTATGTAAAATTTACAGAGAAGCTAGCTGAATATTGTTGACTCAATTTGGCAGTTCTACAGTAGTCTCCTTGCCTATCTCTTTCTCTATATAAGAACAATTAATGTCACCATTCTCTCAACACCAGCATCCATCTATTTCCTCTATTGTATTCTCTTTACAATAAGATTCATCATTCTTGAATTTCAGTGATATCAGGAAATGGTGTTCACTGTGGCACAAGGGCTTCTTCTAATTGTAGCTACAGCTTCAATGTCGACTGTTGGCATGGCTAACAGGGGGTGGTCCAATGGCTTTAACTACACTTTCTAGCCTCCCATGCCAAAGAATGACTCCCACAATTCCCCTAACAATAATGCATCTAACACTATCACTGTGGGTGGATCCGATCACTGGCACTTCGGCTTCAACTACAGCGTCTGGGCTTTCCAGAATTCTCCTGTCTACGTTAATGACACTCTAGGTTAGTTTATTAATATTTTTATTCTTTTAAGGTTTACGGTTCAGGGTTTATTGACATTAAAAATATTTATATATGCAGTTTTCAAGTATGATCCACCAAGCTCGAACGTATTTCCCCACAGCGTTTA